CCCTTTTCCTCTTAGTATCGCCTTCTGCAGCTTTCTTTCACGCTGCATGAATACCTTACGAATACAGCTCTACATTCTCATTAACTGAATAATTTGTTATTCGTTTTGGAGCATATTGCTTCAGTAGTATTTTCGTGCAATTCCAAACCAGCGCATGCATTGGACTGTGTAAACAGAGCAATTTTCATGCTATTCTTCATCTTCCTTGCAAATCAAAAAAAATATTGTTTGCTATAGATTCGTGGTAAACTCAGTCCAAATATACAGCAGTTATTGGAAAATCTCTTCAGTGAAGTGCAGCAGAGCGACAAATCGCTGGAAAAAATTACTGAATTGGTAAGTAACTAAGTTTTTCTCATAATTCTATACTTTTATCATACTTTGGATGCTTGAATTAGCTGTTTGTTTCTCCAACGATGTAAATAGCAGTTTTACCAGGAATTACTTAGTTGAGAACTCTTTTTGGTTTGTTAAAGTTTTCCTCTGTATGTGTATTTTTAAAGGTCAATCGTTTCTTTGCAAATTTGGAATTGGCTTTACGACGAACTCTTTCTGCAGCCGATGATAATAGAATCAGATGCGAAAAACTGGAAGATTCGTTAAAAAAGGTTCACTTTTTTCAATTCATTATTGGGCTGAGGAAACTTTTATTCAATAATTAGCTAAATTTACCTTAAAAAGAATTTTTGTTGTCTGCTTCTTCGATTAGCTGTTGTTTTTCATTTTCGTATTTTTCCTCTTCCCATTGATGCACCTTATTCACGCTTCTTGTGATTTTATCGCGACTGTTTGACCCGCATTTTCCAGTAGATTTGCAAGTGAAATTTTCCGCTTCATTCTTAGCTTTCCATGTCTTCAGTTAAAATTACAAGGGCATCGCCAGTAACCGCTTCGTCTGTTGCTCCCCATTTTTGTTACTGCACAAGTTATATGCCAATCTGTAGATTTTTTTTTTTTTTGGAGTCTGCTTTAGCATAAAATGTGGATCCGTCCTGTTTCGTCGATATCTTTTCTCATTGAGTGTGCCAAAAAGTTGTGTATTGAGTTATTCGTCACAACAATCTGACCCTTTTATTTTCTTTCTTTCATTATCACCACAGAACTTGGGCGATTACCGCTCCACCCTTGCATTTTCCTATTTCATGCACGAATTTTTGCGGTTCTTCCGTCTAATACCCTTAGCTATTGGGTCGCTGTTCCGGCCCTTTCTATTCCTCACAGAGCCTTTTAGGCCCGTATTGCCTTTTGTAGTGATTCCTTTACAACAGTCAACACTACTAATGTTGATCTTTTGCTCATAACTCTGATCAAATGACGAGACGTGCAGTATGGAGTGCAGTCTATTATTCCAATACAATACAACACAACTTCAGCAGCACAGATAAAAACAGCATAATCCCAAATTATCCACGTTTCTAGTGATTGAGCGACTAATTCCCGTCACAATTCCTCTTACCTTTCTCCTGTTCTTCATCTAGTCTCCAGCTAATGATCGCGGGAGCAAACGGCCAAAATACCCTATCGGACCGTCATGCTCCTGCAGCAGACTCGTCTGCACTCTTCGTTATTCTTCCAGCTGAATGGCCTCTTGTCCTCCACGAGAGTCTTACCTTCTTTTTCCTCTTTGTGATCCCCCCGTATACATTTCTTACATACAGACAAAAGAATATTGTGGGACATTCTCGAATAAATGTGGAAAACTCTCGAATAAAACGCGAAGTGTCGATCACTTCGTGTTTCACATGACAGCTCTGCTGTACGGGAAAAGTAAGACTGAATAGCTTTTTATGCGTTTTTTGCAGCAATGCAATGCGAAAAACGCATATTGACGAGAGGTTGTCTGT